GCCTGCAGTTGGAGGGCAAACTGGAAGAGCTGAAGCGTGGCAGGACGTTGTACCAGAAACGGGGGACCCTTTTCTTTAGGTGTGTGCGTTCCCTCCCCCTAGGCTGACATCCTTCAGGTGCAGTGGCTGCCTGAGTTTTCACCTCTCTGGCATAGAGGGTCACCAGGGGAACAGGGTGGGCAGAGCTGCATGGAAAGTCCCTGTTGACCTTCCGGGGCCCAGGTGGAACCCAGAACCTGGAGAAAAGTCACCTACCTTGAAAGACCCCCCCCCCCCCCCCAGCCCCTCCGTTAGTTTGCTGAGGTGGGAGCGGAGATCAGAGTCCCATCATCCCAGACTGAAAGCTGCTTTAGGGAGTCTTTTCACTTCCTAGCACAGCTGATTAAAAAGGTTGTTCCCTGTGTGCAGGGAACAGCATGAGGTTGGAATCAGCCCACGCATTCTGGACCCCAGGCTATGTATTGACCACCTGTGTGAGCTTAGACAAGCCACCTACCATCAAAATAACAACAATAATGAAAAAGTAACAGCAGCTGTCATTTGCAGAGATCTCTTTTAAAAATTCCATTTATATTCATTGAGCACCTACCATATGCCAAGCACTCTTCTACGCATGTGGAAAATAGCAAAAAAACAAAATAGCAAAAAAGAAGCCCTCAGGGAGCTTGTGATCACTACACATATATTATCTAATAATCCCAACCACTGTGTGAGATAAGTATTATTATTATTTTAGCTCCCATTTTACAGATGGGAAACTGAGACACTGAGAAGTCAATCAAGTCCTTTGCCCAAGGTCAAAAGGCTGAGTCTGGATTCCAGCTCTGATTCCAGACCCCATGTGCTGTCTGTCCCTTGGGTCTCTGCTGCCAAATGGTGGTGACGACCCCAGCCATGCCAACCTCACTGGGTTGTCAAGAGGCACAGTGAGATGGTGAATGGATGTCCATCGGCAAATTGTAAAGCACAGGGCTTCCATGTGTCCTGATGTTCTCTCTGGGACAATGTCTGAACTCTGCAAGCTTGGGACTGGCCCAGGCTGAGACCATGGGGTGCAGCTGTCCCCTGACTCTGCCAGCTGCTTTAATGGCTCTGGCCTGTTTTCCCCTCTCCATGCCAGGCACCCCCTGCACCTGCCTGTCCTGCAGAGCCTCGTCCTGCAGGAGACCTTCACAGCTGATAAGCAACACCAGCGTTACTCCCTGGAGACCAGGGTTGTCCTGAATGGCCGAGAGGAGACTCTGCAGACCGTAGTCCTGGGCCGCCAGGCTGGACACCCCTATGTGAGTGGGCTCCTGGGCACAGCTGGGAAAGGGCCTGAGAGTAGCAGGGAGGCCCCTCGGGCCCCTGACCCGTCCCTGCAGGCATGTGTGCACATGTGTGGCTGTCCCTCCCAGGTCTGCGCAGGCCTATCCCACCCATACAATGGTGCGGCCATCCCCAGGAGTGTGGAGGGATGCCTGGTTACTTGGAATCGGCACACTGTAAGTGAGAAGACCCCGAGGCCTTTCCACCAGGCCACCCCCAGTCCAAGCTGCTGTCATCTCTCAGCTAGATGAACAAAACCTTGTCCTGCCCACGTTCTCTATTCCCCTCAGTCCCCCCTGCTACAGTCTACTTGACAGCCAGAGGGATTTTCTCAAAATGCTGCCACCATCACATCATCCCTTGCTTTAAAACCCTCACAGCTTCTCTTGGATAAAGACCTCAATTCTGACCCTCTGGTCTTGCAGACCCTATCGCCCCCCTTTGCTGCCTGTGGCGTTCACTTCATCCGGCCTCTTTCCGTTTCCTCGCCTGGTTCTTTCCTGCTCCAGGACCCTTGTACACTCTGTGCCTGGAGCTATCGTCCTCTCCTTCCGTTTCGCCTCCCTCCCTCTGCTCATCATTTAGGGTTAACTCAAGCATCATCTCTTCTGGGGACCTTTCCCTGGCCCCCAGAACCCCTGACATACACCCCGCCCCATGACTACCCCTCAATACCCTATTCCTTTTGCCTCAAGCACCTATCACGAATCCCAGGCCTATTTTTGTGTGACTGTTTGGTCAATCACTGTCTCCTCCACTAGTCTATAAAGTCTGTGATTGGTCCCATGTCTGCTCTCCTGACCATTGTGGCCAGAGGACCTGGTGCACAGGAAGTGTTTAATGAATAGTTGCTGCCTCAGTGCTGTTTAAAATCTTAGGGCTGGCTGGTTTTCTAAGTGGTTAGAGCACAGTACAAGTAACACCGAGGTCCAGGGTTTGATCGCTGTACCGGCCAGCAAAAGAAAAAAAAAAATCCACTGTATGCCGTGACCCAGAGCAGGAGTCAACAAATTTTCTGTAAAAAGCCAGATAGTAACTATTTTCGGTTTTGTGGACCACATACCCTTGCAGTGAGAAAGCACTGCAGACCGTACATAAGCGAACGGGCGCGACTACGTTCTAATAAGACTTTATTCACAAAAACATGCCAGATTTGGCCTGTGGGCTGTAGTTTGTCGACCCCTGACTTAGAGGAGGCTGGTATTTGGCATCCTGGGGGTGAAACTCATGTTTGCCTGTGTGTCCTTGGCAAATCACTTCACAGCCTTGGCCTTCAGTTTCCTCATCTATGAAAGGCGGGCAACAATCCTTGTCTCGTAGGCAGTGGGAATTGAAATGTAATATAATAATTGCTGTCAAGCACTTAATTCGTGCTTACCAGGCCCTCATCAAAGTCTCTTTCCTGGAGACTCTAGGAGGAGTAGGAGCTCTGGGAGATCACCATGTTCTCCAGCAAGCATTTATTGAGCACTTACTGTGTGCCAGGCTGGCCCTGAACAAGGAAGATGGGGTAGTTTCTCCTTTTCGAGATGGACAGCAGCCTAGTGGAAGGAGGGCGAAGCTGGGCCAGCTGTTGAACCCCGAGCCCTGCCTTCTGGGGCCTCACTTCCTGTCAATTAGAGGAGGCTGTGAATGGCCCCCCAGAGGTTTAGTAGTGAAGTTCTCAGGGCTTCTAAAGGACAGGATGACAACTCAAAACACCTGCAGAAGAGGCTCCCTAAGGTGTTTGCTGTTTCTTAAACCGGAGATTGCAGAGTGGCCCGCAAATCCAACCTACAGGTGTGTTTCGTTGGGCCTGCTTAGCGTTAAAAAAATTTTTTTAAAATTAATTGCCGCTGTTGAAAATCAGAAGACTTTGGGTAAAACCCAGATTTCTTGTTTATAAAAGAAAAAAATGAAAAGATCTAACCACACTGGGTCTCAAATCCCAGCTGACAATATCAAGCCAGAACTGAGTACATGAGGATCCTTTAAAACCCTTTGTTTAATGATACACATTTTTCTCCTCTTTCGGACTCCTATTTTTCTTCCTTCATCGTGGTTCTAAAATAAAGCCATGTATTTCTTTAAAGATGCACACCAGTGATAAAATTCTGTGGCAAAACTTCTCCAGCAATGTACTACTGTGTACTCAGCACATGGCAGAAACTAAGTAGTTGCTAGTGATTAAATGATTGAGAAACTATATTAGCTTCCTAGTGCTGCTGTGACAAATTGCTACAAACTTAGTGGCTTAAGGGCCGGCCCGTGGCTCACTCGGTAGAGTGCGGTGCTGATAACACCAAGGCCCCGGGTTCGGATCCCACATAGGGATGGCCGGTTCGCTCACTGGCTGAGCGTGGTGCTGACAACACCAAGTCAAGGGTTAAGATCCCCTTACCGGTCATCTTTAAAAAAAAAAACAAAAAACTTAGTGGCTTAAAACAACACAGCTTTATCTTATGATTGTGAAGATCAGAAGTCCGAAATGGGTCTCACTTGGCTAAAATCAAGGTGTTAAGAGAGGCTCCTTCTAGAGGCTCCCAGATCAAATCCATTTTCTTGCTCTTTCCAGCTTCTAGAAGCCTCCCGCATTCCTTGGCTCAGGGTCCCTTCTTCCATCTTTGCAGCCACTGGAGTAGTGTCTGTGAATCTCTCTGACTCTGCCCCTCCTACCATTCCAGGGACTGGCTGGACACCACGGGGGGGTGGGTATCCTGCTTGCTACACTGTGAGTTAACCATTCTTCCACTCCAGCATGGCTTTGACCTTGGGGTTTCAGGCAAGAACTAGTAATTCTGCATTTGTCCAAATGTTGATTGAGCACCTACTATGTGCCAGGACCTGTGCTGAGTGTTAGGCACGAGACACACAGGTACTCATGTTTGCCCTCTCAAGTGCTCCCACTAACCCACCTGTGGGCACCGAGTTGACCATCCCTGTTTAAAAGGTCCCACGTGCACTTCTTCTCACTTCCTGCCCTGTAAATGGAAGTGTGTGGACTGTGCTTAACCCATAAATGTTGGGGCTGCTCTCTTCTGACTCTTGCATTCTAAGGGTGGCTTCCAAGGGCACGTAGAGATGACAAGGGGCCTCTCTCAGTGCCTCCGGTTCTCGAATATCCAGGCTAAGAACAGGGAAGTCGAGACCACTTTGAAAGTCAACAAGAAGGTCGTGTTGCACTTAAAAGGTCTGCACCATGACAGATCTCAGCACAGGGAAATCCGGCACAGCCTGGCTCTGGACATGGCCCATTCCTACCAGGTACCTGTTCCCAGGTTGAGCAAATGCTGGTTTGTGCCCTCCAAGCAGAGCTCGACTGTTGGTGGGAGTAAAGGGTGCTGTCTGTTTCTCCCCAGCTGAGGTTCCCCCAGGCCCTGAGCTTGGGTGGAGACGTCATCTTTAGAAGGAGTCCCCAAGGAACATTCAACTTCAGCGCAGACGCCCAAGCTGCTATCAACCACAACATCACATACCAGGTCAGGCTGAATTCTCCCTTGCTGATGGAGGAGGGGTTTTAATATTAGAGTGGAGTTGCTCTATAGGGGATGGCTGAGAAGGTAATGAGGTGACCCTAGAAAACCAACAGCACAGCCCTCGTTTTGGTAGCATGTATGTGATTAGTCAGGATGTACTGACCGTGATTATAAACAAATGTGTGCTTTACTGTGAAAGTTCATGTCACAGTTCAGGGTGACTCTGTTCCACACAGTCACTTGGGGATCCAGGCGTCCCCACCTTGTGGCTCTGCCCCAACTGGCTGATGGGGAGGGAGAGGGCAAATTATGCAGGAGGTTTTCATGGGCCAGGCCCACAGGTAGCACTGGACACTCCTGCCCACATTCTGCTGGCCAGAGTTCATCACGTGACCCCACCTAGTGCAGGGGAGGCTGGGACATGTAGTTCTAGCTGTGCGTACAGAGGAAAAGGGAATGCAGGTTGAGTATATAGCAGCCACTGTAGCTATATTTATTCATTCATTGATTCATTCACCATATACAGATCATGTCTCTGCTGCATGCTAGGCACTGGGGATGCACAGGTGACTGTTTCTGTCCCCACCTCCAAGGAGCTTTCGATCTAGTGGAATTTTTTAACTTTATGCAAATTAAAGTTCAGTCCCCAGCTTCACTGCTGACCAGCTTTGTGACCTTTGGTAAATTACTTAACTCTATTGAGCCTCATTTTTGCCAGCTGGGAAGTGGGGCTAGTAATACAAGCCCAGCAGGGCACTGGTGAGGATTAAATGAGGTGATAATTGTAAAGCCAGTGGGCACGATGGCAGGGCAAGTTGGGGGTCTTGGAGCTGTCTTCTCAGCCCCACATCTGGGGCCTCACTTCCTGAGTGTCTTTCCCAGTAGCCCAGCCTGGGTAGGACTTGGGGCTGAGGAATGTTGCCTGAGCTTTGGGTACACTCTGGGGTGGCTTGTCCTCCCTGGGTGTCCCGCCACCCACCTCCTGGGCTTCATAATCTCTCCCTTCTACTCCCTCTGACCCCCCTTCTCCGACGCCCCCTCCCAACAGGTCTCGGCCCAGCTGAACGGATCTGACTCCCACTTCGTGCTTTTCTTCCAGCTCAGACATCCCCGTGGACTGACACTTCCTCCAAACTTCCAGGTTAGACATTGCTCCCTTTGGGATGGCCTTGAATTGCCTGCTAGAGGTCGTCTCTGAGCAGCCAGCTTGCTGGGAGAAGGGGCGGAAGGGAGGAGGCCCATGGGAGGGAGGCTACACCATGATGTTCTGCTGAGCCAAACAGCCCCTGCACAATCAAGGACAGATGGCAGGGAGGGCTCCGAGTCCATCATTTGGAAGTGATTGTCGTGGCGAGAAGGGTTTTAGCTCCCTGGGGGTGAAAGATATTTCACCCTTGGAAATGGAGAGAAACAGAATTTTTCTCCAAACCCTGCCATATATTTGGGTTTGGGAGAAGCCGTGTAATCCTTTGAAAAGGCTTTTGGGATCAAGGGTTGTTTGCCCAGTGGCAGCTGGAAGAACCAAAGGGTTTCACCCTACAAGGTAATAAAGGGACCAAGCAAGGCGTCCGGATGGGAAGGCTGTCTGTGCTGTGCTCCCCCAGGGACGGTCTCTGGAAAGCTCCCACATGTTTGTTGCCTCACTGAGCAAGTGGTGTGGCGTGTGCACAGGAATTAGGCACTGAAGTTGGGGAGACGGAAGTGTGAACAGGTGACCCCAATAATGATGAGGCCAGAAGACAGGTGGGGCAAACTTTCATTGATGGCAATTTGTAAACACCTGCTGTGTACTCAGCCCCGTGCACGGAGCCTGGGAATTGCTCTGAATGTCAAATGACGTGTTGTCACGTGTCGACATCTCTGAAATCAGGTCTTCAAATGGACAGAGGTGGTCACTTCATTAGCAGCCTCTTTGCTTTTGTGCAGTCTGTAAAATCATGGTGCATCTGAGAGCCGCTGGCATCTCAGATTGGAGGAGATGCTGTCACATTCATCAATTGTCATAGAAGCTCATGTCTGCTGAGCGTTAACATGTGCGGATTCTATCCTAAGCCCTTTACAGGGCACATCTTTTGGATGCCTGGTGATGCTGCGTGAGGGGGCTACAGTTGTACTATTTTGCAGATGAGGCTCGGAGACATAGAGAAGTGACTTGCCCAAGGTCACTGAGCTCATAAATGAAGGATCTTAGATGGGAACCCACGCGTTCTGGTCCCAGAGCCCACTGCTATCCCTGAACTCACTGGGGAGTGGGGGTCCCCCGGAAGCTTGACCACTGGGTTGCTGATTGGTTTAAACTATTATATTTTAAAGCAGCAGAACTCTTTGCTCACATTATGGTTGACTGGGGGCTGTGAGGGGTGCTGCCTTCTCAACCTCTCTCTGCTCTTGAACTACCCCAAGGTATCTTTCTACACTGTGTTTTTATCCTTATTTTCATCATCCCCCTGTAATAAGCCTTTTTAGACATTTTTCTAATCCCCTTCCCCCAAGAAATTTTAATTCCATAAGTATAACTGTATTTCTGTTTATGTACTGTATCTATGCTTTTCACATGAAAACAGTAAGATTTTTTTGCCACCCCCCCAAGAGCCAATTTTTGCCCCCTAGGGGGCGATATCGCCACCATTGAGAATGCATGCTCTAGAGGACCCCGAGGACCTAGAGAGGCCAGTCAGAGGAAATACCAGGGTCGCCTTGAAGTTTTCAGCCCGAGCCGCACATTGGATTCACCTGGAGAGACTTTAATTGAGAATGCATGCTCTAGAGGACCCCAAGGACCTAGAGAGGCCAGTCAGAGGAAACACCAGGGTCGCCTTGAAGTTTTCAGCCCGAGCCGCACATTGGATTCACCTGGAGAGACTTTAGAATATACCTGGGTTTCAGTCCGGAGATGCTAAGTTGATTGGTCGGTGGTGGGGTGGGGGCAGTCCCCAGGCATACTTTTTTTTAAATTAACACTTTATTTTTTGAAAGCAGTTTTAGGTTTACAGAAAAAATGAGCGGAGTACAGAGAGTGCCCATGTACCTCCATGACCCCTGCACAATTTCCCCTGTTATTAACATCTTGCATTGATGTACATTTGCTACAACTGAACCAATATTAATATATCATTAGCTAAAGTCCATGGTTTACATTAGGGTTCACTCTCTGTGCATTCTGTGGGTGTTACCAATGTGTAATGTCATGCATCTGTTATTAGTGTCAGAGTAGTTTCACTGCCCTAAAAATCCCCTGTGCTCTACCTGTTCATCCATCTCTCCCACCCCCCCAAAAGCACTGATCTTTTACTGTCTCTAGTGTTGCCATTCCCAGAATGTCATGTAGGGGGAATTATTCAGTACGTAGCTGAATTTTAGGGGAAAAAGCACCAAGGTGTTTTTCCTCTACTCAAATACAGGTGTATTATAAAGGATGTTACAAAGGATACAGGTGAAGAGATGTGTAGGGCGAGGTATGGGGGAAGGGGTGCAGAGCTTCCATGCCCGCCCCTGAGTGACACCCTCCAGGCCCCTCCATGTGTTCAGCTATTGGAAGCTCTTGAACCCTGTGCCCTTGGGTTTTTCTGGAAGCTTCGTGATATAGGCATGACTGAAGCATGGGCAACCGTGTAGAAACATGATTGAACAAAGAGGGTCTGATCTAACACTGGCAACCTGGGTGGGGAACCCCAGCAAGGCCTGTCTGTTCAGATTCTTCTGGCCTCTCTGTGCAGCACTCCCTCCTCCCAGGCATGGGGCAGGGCCCCTCCTGAAACGGGGGTCTTATGACAGACAATCAGCCAAGGTAGGTTAGAGAATGTCCTGCTCTGGGGAGAAAAAAAAAAGGGCAGGAGAAAGTAGTATGAGCCAGGAACCATGGACGAAAACCAATATATAAATATCCTATCACCGTAGACTTTTCAGATGGGCTTTTTTCACTTAGTAATCTGCACTCATGGATTCTCCGTGTCTTTTCATGGCTGAATAGGTCATTTCTTCTGAGTGTGGAATACTATTCCGTTGTCTGCATGTGCTGCAGTTTATCCACCCATTCACCTATGGAGGGGCAGGCATACTTGTAAGAGCTTGCCATGCGATTATAATGCACAGGCTGGGCTGAGAACCATGGAGCTAAACCAGCTTCTGCCTTGGAGATGGGGAAACTGAGGCCCAGATCAGGAGAGGGCAAGGCCTTGGGTCCCGCAGAGCCAGAGGAGGCTTGGGCCTCTCTCGTCCCCCCACCCCCCTCCCAGACATCCTGGTTGGTCCTGGCCAAGTATTTGCCTGGCCTGACCCCAGGGTGGCCTCTCCCTGCGTACCAAGACACCTTTGCCTCTGAATCCCAGAGGCTCTGGGGTCCTCCGGTTCCCAGGGGGCACTATTTTGGGCATCTTTTCTGTGAGTTGCAAAGGGATTCTCTGCTTCCCCCCACCCACTAACCCCCTTTAGACACCAACATGAGTTTTAGAGCCTGGCAGGCCCAGGTAGCATATGTGACCCTCTCTGAGCCTCAGTTTCCCCATTTGTAAGAGGGGAACTCCTACTTCACATGTGTGGAGAAAACAGGATGGGACTCTGCTCCTGGGTCACAGGTGACTGTCACCCCTTCTCTGCCTGGTTTGTGTGAGTATTTGCTGTCCTCTGTGCTCAGTGACTGCTCAGAGCTGGAGTGGCCCAGGAAGCCTCCCTGAAGGAGGGGGCCATCCTTTCCCCTGCCTCAGGCTTCCCCAGATCCTTCCTGTCCCCACTCTGCTTCTGAGCCCTCCCCTAACTCCCTGCAGGTGCGGGTGGCTGCTGGGCGCTACAAAGAGCGCAGCCTCAACGGTGCACTGTCTGTGCACGTGTCGGGCCAGGAGCTGGTTCTACTGGAGGTCAACACCAGCCAGGACACCCAGGGAAGCAGCCGGGGCTGGGGCATGAGTGTCGTCCTCCATCAGGCAGTTCTCAGAGCCCCCAGGGCTGTTCAGCTACAGCTGTCGGGCAAGGTCACTCCAGCAAGGTAATGGTCCCTAAGGTGGCCTGTGAGGGGCCTCCAAGGGCAAAGTGCTGTTATCCTGGGAGGTGGGAAATCATCACTTAGAGGGCCCCCTCTTCTGTCACTCTGAGACCATGCCTAAGTTACCCCCCTCAGCAACATTCTTGGTATCAGGGCATTGAGGAATGGAAGGGGGTAACATTCAGTTTTCTACTTTTATCTTTTCTTTTTGTTATGAGAGTGTTCATTGTAGGTGACTTGAAAGATTATAATAACGTATAAAGAAGAAAACAAATCGCTACACGTAGCCACAGGGTGTGTGCGTTTCCTTCCAGTCTTTTCTCTGACTACGTACTCACACATGGGTATGGCCAGTGTGGTGTGGCCGTAAAGAGCCTAGGATCCAGAGTCAATCACCTGGGTTCAAGTCCCAGTTCTGCCACTGCTGCCTCTGGGACCACTCTGCCCTTCTGTGCCTCAGTTTCCCCATCTGCTTCTTAGGGATCTCCTAAGGATTGGTGGGGAGCTGTACATGAGTTTTAAGCCGGGGGCCAGTGAGAATGTTTGGTAGCTGACCACCATTGTTTCTCCTTGTGTAATAACACTCTCAGCCCTCAATGCAGAACACTTTTGTGACCAGGTATGTGTAGGGGTTTTCCCCACTAAACAATTCTCTGGCAGATACCAACTGGGTGTCCTGCAATTTAACTCAGTTCCAGCACTATATACCCGGAGTTAGCATTAGATTCCACATGTTAAGGGCTCAGTCCCATAAGACTGTCCCCACTTTAGACACCAGTTGCAAGTCCCAGGTTGCCACCTGTGCTGCTGACTGGCTGTAAATCAGAGTCACTTTGATGCACCCTTGGTGTTCAGTCATTTGCTAGAGAGGCACACAGAAACATTTCACTTATGTTTGCCCATTTGTTATAAAAGGATACAACTCTGGGACAACTGGAGGGAAGGGATGCACAGGGCAAGGTACGGGGGACGGGGTGCAGAGCTTCCTTGCCTTTTCCGTGCCTGTCGCCCTCCACGTGTTCAGCAACCTGGAAGCTCTCTGAATGGGTCTCTGTTAAGTATTTCCTCTTGCAATCCCAGCTTTGTTCCCAGCTTTGGCACGGATTCAAGGAGACCCAAGGCTGGGGACGTGGTCCTAGGTAACCTTTTCTGCAGAATTACCATCCACAGCTGTCTGTCCATCCACCTGTTTATCCTCTGTCCGATTGCCCATCCTTATCCCTGATATAAAAAGGACTTGAAGCAGATTGTAAAACCGTACATTGTTCTAGGTCAGGGGTTGGCAAACTTTCAGTAAAGGGCCAGATGGTAAATATTTTCAGCTTTGTGGGCCATATGGTCTCTGTCACAACTACTTAACGCTGTCTTTTTAGCATAAAAGTATTGTAGGCAATTCATAAATGAATGGACACAATTGTGTTCCAATAAAGCTTTATTTATAAAAGCAGTTGGTGGGCCAGTTTTGACTCACAAACTATAGTTTGCCAACCTTTGTTCTAGAGTTTTAAAAAGTACATGAAGAAACCAGGGGAAGAAGGAGAGGAGGGGGAAAAAAAAGACAAAATGGGAGAGTGCTCACAGTGGCATTATTGAACAAAATGCATACCACGAGGTCCTCTACATTTTCTAGAGCTGAACTGAAGATTTGGCTCAGAACTTCCTAGTAGCCAATGCAAAAAGAGAAACCAACCAGTGGTGTCATTTGCAGTGGCTATAAGGAAACACACACTCACATGCACCTGAAGGTCCTCTACATTTTCTAGAGCTGAACTGAAGATTTGGCTCAGAACTTCCTAGTAGCCAATGCAAAAACAGAAACCAACCAGTGGTGTCATTTGCAGTGGCTATAAGGAAACACACACTCACATGCACCTGTGTGCATAGCTGACCTTGCTGCTGGTGTTGATGTCCTATAAAGAACACACTGTGTGATGATAGGAACCATGTCCCCTGCCCCAGTTCTCCAGTAAGTTTAACAGCAGTCTTCTCAGGGCTGTTTTGTTTCTCATCCCTTACCATGATAGGATCTATTGATCACGCATTATGGGCCAGGAGCAAGCACTTTATAGTCCAAAGTTCCAAAGTTCATTTCATTCAAAAAAAAAAAAAAACAACCCTGTGTATTTGGTTCTACAGAATAAGCATCCCTAATCAGAAAATCTGAAATCCGGAATGCTCCAACATCTGAAACTTTTGGAGTGGTGACATGATATTCAAGGGAAATGCTCATTGGAGCATTTTGGATTTCAGATTTTCCAATTAGAGATGCTCAACTGCTATGTATTCTGCAAATATTCCAAAATCCAAAAAATCAGAAATCTGAAACACTTCTGGTCCCAAGCATTTTGGATAAGGGATACTCAACCTTGTACTGTTTATATGAACTTTGGGCAAATTACTTTCTGTACATCAGTTTCCTTATCTGTGTAACAGGGATCATATTATCGAACCTCACAGGACCTTTGTGAAGAGTCAGATAATGCATCTAAAGGGCATGGCACAGTGTGTTAGCTATTTCTTCGTAACAAACTACCCTACGGCCTGGAGGTTAAAGTAACAACTATTTCATTTGCTCATGATTCTGTGGGTCAGGAATTTAGACAAAGCTTAGTTGGGCAGTGCTACTGTAGGAAATCTTTGGTGGGAAGTCATTCCCTGGGTCTCTTGGCTGACATCAGCCTTCAGGCGAGTCAGTTTGCAGCCAGTTGTGTGTATGGGCTGGGGTGGGCTGGGAAGTCCAAGGAAGCTTCCGTCACACGTCTGGATCTCAGTACTCCTCCATGTGGCCCTGCTGTCTCTCCTCAAGTGGCTGCTTGGGCTTTCTCACACCAGGGTGGTGTCAGGTTTGTCCAACTTCTTACAAGGTGGCTGAGTTCCAAGGGAGAGCATTTGAGTGTGAAGGTGAAAGATACAGAGGCAGATCTTAAGGCCCAACCTTGGAGGTTATGCAGCAGCATCACATCCATTCTAGTGACTCAAATACAGGTCGCAAGGCCAGCTTGATTCAAAGGGACCCCACCTCTAAACAGGGGAGTGGCAAAGTAACATTGCAGAAGAGTGTGTGGGAGGGGAGCTATTTTTACAACCACCTTTGGAAACATGGTCTATCACACATGGGTTAGTACATGTCAGTATCAGAATCAATATCAGCTCAATATCAGTATTTCCATTTTCTTCCCCACTTTACAGAAGAGAGGGAAGCTCAGAGAGGTTATATTGTTGCCCAAGGTCACACAGTTAGTGAGTAGCAGCATTGGGATTTGAACCCAGGTCTGCCTGACCACAAAGCCCACAATCTTAATCTCTTTACTTTGCTTCCCTGTGAGAAGAGGGCCCAGTAAAAGCCATCCTATGGCAGGTCTTACCAGTGGGGTTTTGGTACCTGCTTCTGTGGGCTGGCCTGCTTACTCAAAGGGGAAAATGCCATGTGGCAGGAGGGTGGTGCCAGCTTTTATCATCTCATCACTTTCCTTCCTAGGATCTGGCTGTTTTCCAAGGCGCTGCTGGACCAGAATACAGCACGGCTTCTCCTCAGGGCCTCGGAGGAACATCGGGGAGGCTGGGTCCTGACCCTACAGGGCCAAGCCCAGAACACGGTGGCTGGCTGGGTAGTGGTGCCCCACCTCCTGACCCTCAAGGGCACGCTGAAGCAGAAGGAGACACTCCAAGAGGGTGAGGGCCTGCGGAACCCCGCGGGGACAGGGCCAGCAGAGGTCTTGGGCAAGCACTTTCTATGGGACCACAGGGTAGATTAAATTTTACACAAGTCCATTGATGCTCTAGTCCAGCATTTCACACTGGAGTGTAGATGGGCATAGATAAAGGGGTATGGACGATAACCCTTTGTGAGTAACTAATGTGTTCTGACAAAGAGAATATTCTGCTGCTAACTAAAAACCGGACAGATTTCCTCGTGTAGGACTTATCAGAGCCTTTAACATGCCAATGGACATTGCAAATCTCCAGGAAGGAAGCTGGGTGTGGTGTTTCCCAGTGTATTTTTTATAATACTTTTAATTTTGATGTAATTTCAGACTTATAGAAAAGTTTCAAGAATGGTACAAAGAATCCCATAGACCCTTCACCCAAATTCACCAATTAACTAACATTTTGCCATATTTGTTTATATATGTGTGTATGTATGTATGTGCATATATAATATTTTATTCTCAAACTGTTTTCCTGAGCAAATTGTGGACATGATGGTTCTTTACCCCTAAATATTTGAGTATTTATTTCCTAAAAATAGACAGTCTCTTATATTCCACAGTACAGTTATCAAATTCAGACAATTCACTTTGTACCGTGCTATTGATACAATGAGGTCTAACTACAGAACTTATTCAGGTTCCATGTGTTCCAATAATGTCCTTAATGTTCTTTATGGTAAAAGAAAATTCTGGATTATGTGTCGCATTGATGTGGCTAAATTCCTTGTCCTCCCTTTGTTATTGTCCTTGTTTTAATTTCCCAGCTAATACTTGCCTGTATGTAAGAAGTATCTAGAGTTGTGTTAAGGGTTAAACAGCTCAAGTGCAGCGTCTGAGTTCTGTAGCTCTGCGGTTACAAGCCTGTCAGTTTTTAGCTTTCCTGTGTTAGTAGACTGAACTAAACCAACAGCTTGCCAGTGATTTCCTGTGTAGATGAGAGACGAAGTTGCTCCCTAAAGAAGACCCCAACTGAAGACCTCGTGGAAGTAGTCTTGCTCATTGACCACACTTCCTGCCCTTGCACCCAGCTGTGATAAAGACCCTTGCCTAAAAAGCCTCTTTACCCAGTTTTAACTCATAACCACAGTAACGTAGTTAACCACCTGTTGAAGACCCCCTATTTAGGTAACTCTGCCCGAATACAGACAGAGCCAATAGAAATGCTTGCTGCTTACCTACCCAAGAAAGGTGTATAAGACCTAGTCCTCCCTGCATGACCCGCTCAGGTCTTTGGGATGCTAATTCCCCTGAGTCTCTGCTGGCATAATAAATCTGTGTTCTCTGTCTCTCCGAGTGACTCCGTTTCCTTTGGCGACTCCCTTCCACAACAGCATTCAGTTGTATTGTTTCTTTAATCTTTTTTATTCTGGAACAGTTTCCCAATATTTCTTTCTCTTTCATGATATTTATTTATTTTTCTCTATTGGTGGCTGGCCGGCACAGGAATCGAACCCTGGACCTTGGTGTTATCAGCACCATGCTCAAACGAGCTGAACGAATAGGCCATCCCTGTGATTTTTACATTTTTCAAGAGTACAGGGCAGTCATTTTGTGGAATATCCCTCAATTTGATTTCCTGTGCCTACACTCACAGAAGCCTTGTTGGCAGAATACTACAGAAGTGACGCGGCATTTACGCAACGTTGGTAACATTAGCTTTGATCACTTGGTTAAGGAGGTGTCTGCCAGGTTTCTCTACTGTATTTTGTTTTCCTTTGTAATAAGTAATTTGTGGTAAGATACTTGGAGATCACATAAGTATTCTGTGTTCTCATCAAAACTGTCACCCACTAGTTTTAGCATCTACTGATGATTCTTGTCTGAACCTGTTATTATTCTGATGATGGTTGCCAAATGGTGATTCTCTAATTCTATTTTTCTTTATTACTTACAACAGAAAGAGATTTCCCTTCTTCTACCCTCTCCGCCTCTCTCCTTTTTTTTCCCTTTTCATCACTGCAGTACGGACTCATGGGTTATTATTTTACTCTTATTTGATTCAATAATCTCTTATATCATTACTTATTTCCGTGCTCAATTTCCCCAGATTTGTCCAGTGGGAATCCCTTCAAGGGGGCTCCTATATCTCCCTCCACCCCAATTTTACCATAAAAAAAATTTCAAGCATAAAGAAAAATTGAGTTGAATAGCAAACACCCATATACCTGCCACCTAGATGTTACAACGGTCGGTGTTTTGTGATATTTTCTTCATCACTTATCAATCCACTATCCATCCTTCCATGATATTTTTGATGCTTTTTAGCATGAAGTGCAGACATCAGAGCACCTTAGCCCTAAACATTTTAGCACAAACATATCATTAAGTAAAGTTCAATATCTGCTTAAAATTCTTTCCTCATGCTCTCCCTTCCTCCTGGTGATGTAAACGTATATATCTGAAGTATATAGTCACTGAGTTTTAACAACTGTGCATACGCGTGCAACCCAAACCCCTAACAAGATATAAAACATCCCCATCATCCTTGAAAGATTCCCCGATCCCCTACAGAGGCAATCACTCTTCTGAGTTTTTGCATTGTAGGTTAGGCTTGCATATTCTAAAACTTTATATAGGTGGAAAAATATAGTATGTTCTCTTCATATGGCATGGTGTTTTTGACATTCATCTGTCTCATTCCACATTATTAGTAGTCCATTCTTTTGCTATTACTGAGTAGTATTCCATTGCATAAATATACTGTAGCTTATTTTCCTGTTTGACACCTAGGTTCTTTCCAATTTGGGGCTAACATGAATACAACTGCTGCAAATATTCTAATATAAACCTTTTTGGACATAGGCTTTCATTTACCTTAAAGTACCTAGAAGTGGAGTTGCTAGGTTATAGGGTAATTGTATGTTTACTTTTCTTAGAAACTGCCAGAGCTTATTCCAAAGAGAAAATATTTTACATTGTTGCTCCTTTGTGGAGTTGATCTAAGTCCTTCATAATATTTGGTGGTGTCAGGGTTTTTGTTTTTTATATTTGGGCGGCTGGACGGTGCAGGGGTCAAACCCTGGAACTTGGTGTTATCAGCACCATGCTCTAACCTAGTGAGCTTACTGGCCAGCCTAGTGTCAGGTTTAAAAAAAAAAAAGTCATTTTAATGAGTGTCTAAAACTACTCATTGTAGTTTTGATCTGTATTTCCCTGATGACTAATGATGTTGAGCTCTTTTTCATGTCTCTTCATATGTCTGTCTTTGTGAAGTGTCAGATCAATATCTTTTGCCTATTTATAAAATTGGGTTGTTTGTCTTTTTTTGAGTTGTAGATATTCTTTATGTATTCTGGATACAAGTCTTCTGAAAGATATATGTTTCATAAATATTCTCCTCCAGTTTGTGGCTTATTTTTTTAGTAGTTGTCTTTTGACAATCATTAGTTTTCAATCCTGATGAAGTCTAATTTATTCTTTCTTTTTTAGCTGTTGATTTCTGTGTTCTAACAAACTTTGGTTATAAAAATATTGTAATTTTTCTTCTGGAGGTTTTATATTTAGCTTTTATATTTAGGTCTAGCATCCATCTTGAACTAATTATTGTCTATGATATGAAGTAGGGGTCTTGGTTCATTTTTTCCGCATATGGGTATCTGTTCTTACAGTATCACTTGTTGATAAACTTTCTTTTCCCCATTGAATTTCTTGGCAACTGTAGTGGATCGAATTATGTCCTCCCAAAATTCATTGAAGTTTGAATTCTGTCCCTCAAGTTTTATGTGTTAGAAACTTAGCCCCACTGTGACTGGTAAGAGAGTGGGAAATCCTATTATGGTAATTGAAAGGTGGAGCCTTGAAGAGGTGATTGTATTGTAGGACCATGCAGTAGTGAATGGATTAAAAATGGTGGTCAGGGGCGTGGTTCTGAGGGCTTTAAAAGAAGAGAGAAGAGAGTCTGTCTTTCTCTCTCTCTTCTTCGCCATTTCACAATGTGATACCCTGCCATCTCGGAAGTCACCACCAAAGAAAGCCTTCACCAGATGTGTTCCTGGACTTTGTACTTCCCAGCCTCTGAAACTGTAAGCAGTAAGTTTCATTTTCTTATAAATTACCAGTTTCAGGTATTTTGTTACAAGCAACAGAAGTGGACTAATACAGCAACTTTATCAAAAAATATTGGTTGCCCCACACATGTATGGTTTATTTCTGGGTTTTCTATACTGTTTCATTGATTGACTTGTCGGTCCTTAAGACGACAGTCCTGATTATTGTAATTTTATAAGAAATCTTGAAATCAGATAGTATAAATGTTTTAATCCATTTTTGTGTTGCTATAAAAGAATACCTGAGACTGGGTGACTTATAAACAAAACAAAATTTATTCCTTACAGTTTCTGAGGCTGGGAAGTCCAAAGTCCACTGGTGGTGATGACAGCAACCCAGGGGTCTCATATTGCAAGATGGTGGGAGCAGAGAGACTCTCCTCTTCTTTTAGAGCCCTCAGAACCACGCCCCTGACCACCATTTTTAATCCATTCACTACTGCATGGTCCTACAATCCAATCACCTCTTCAAGGCTCCACCTTTCAATTACCATAATAGGATTTCCCACCCTCTTACCAGTTACAGTGGGGGTAAGTTTCTAATACATAAAACTTGGGGGACACAATTCAAGTTTCAATGAATTTTGGGGGGACATAATTCAATCCACTACAGTAAGCCCCCCAACTTTATTCTTTTTTTCCCAAGATTGCTTTGCTTTGTAATTTCATATAAATTTTAGATTCGGCTTTTCAAATTCTACAACAAAAAAAGCCTGCTGTGGAATTATGATTGGGATTATGTTGAATCTATAGATCAATGTGGGGAGAGTTGACCTCTTAACAGTATTATCTTCCAATCCATGGATATGCTACATTTACTTACATTTACTTTATCCCCATTTACTTAGGTTTTATTTGCCTTTGCAATGTTTTGTAGTTTTCAGTGTACAGTTCTTGCAAAATCACTCATTAAATTTATCCCTAAGCATTTTGTTTATGTTATTGCAAATAGAATTTTTTTAAAATTACATTTTCTAATCATTCATTGCTAGTATATGAAAATTCAGTTTATTCTTGTATATCGTGTATATCCTGTGACCTTTACTAGATTTATTTATTCTAGTGGTAACAGATTTCTCATGATTTTCCTCGTAATAATCATGTCATCTGTGAATAGAGTTTTTTTCTTCCTTTTTGACTTTTATGTATTTTTGTTCTTTTTATTGTTGTGATGGCCAAGTTGAAGGATATTTGGATTGTTTCCAATACTTGGCGATTACAAACAAAGCTGCTGTCACCATTGGCCTAGAGGTTTTTGTGGGAGCATATGGCTTCATTTCTCTTCAGTAAATACCTAGGAGTAGGATTGCTGGATTGCATGCCAAGTATATGTTTAACCTTATAGGAACACACCGTACTGTTTCCAGAATGGCTGTACTGTTTTATGTTCCCATTTGCAATGTATAAGAATGCTGGTTGCTGGGTCCATGCCAGCAATTGGTATTCTCAGGTTTTTATTTTAGTTGCCATTCTAACTGACGTGTACTGTTTCCAGAATGGCTGTACTGTTTTATGTTCCCATTTGCAATGTATAAGAATGCTGGTTGCTCTGGGTCCATGCCAGCAATTGGTATTCTCAGGTTTTTATTTTAGTTGCCATTCTAACTGACGTGTAGTTACATTTCATTTTGGTTTTAATTTCCATTTCCCTAATGACTAATTATGTTGAGGTCTTTCATATGCTTATTTGCCATTGTGTATCTTCTTTGGCGAAGTGTCTATTCAAATCTTTTGCCCATTTTTAAAATTGAGTTGTTTGTGTTATTTAGTTTTGAGAATTGTTTATGCAAGTCCTTTATCAGGTATGTGTTTTGTTAATATCCTCTCCTGGTCTGTGACTTGTCTTTCCATTTTGTTAAGTGTCTTTTGAAGAATAGAGGTTTTTCATTTTGGGGGGAAATCCAATGTCCAATTTCTCACTTGTTTTCTTTTTCTTTTTTTATTTTTCTTTGTATCTTCATGATAACCTAATGAAGCTTTACTTGTTATCAGGTTTTCAAAATGAGGAAACCGGTTAACATCTTGTAGGACATGTTTACGTAGGTTCCCTCAGACCCATCGTAAGGCATTTGTAAAACTTGGAAGGTTCTGTGAGAAAGTTCTGTCCGTATGGGAAATGCTTCGTGAGGAGTTTAAGCTTTTCTGTGATAGAGTTTAGCATGAGCTGTACGACTGAAGCACAGGACAAGGGTGTCCGTCCTGGGCTGGGGGTGAAGGAGGGCTGAGGAAGGCTTCCTGGAGGTGGTGACACCCGAGTCGAATCTTCTAAAACAGAAGGGAGGTCTAAGGGCACTCGGACCCCATCAGGCACAGAGAACCCTGTGGGATCAAGGGACCCTAAACAGAGACGAGCAAGAATTTCCCTAATTCATCAGTTAAATATGGGTTTGGGGCTGGCCTAAGGGTGTGGAATCTTCTTCCCTGGAAAAATTCCCTAGAATTCCAGGTTGGGTCCTTTGGGGCTTCTCGGGTCTTAGTTTTGTTGTCTGCAAAATGAGGCTGTTCCATTATAGGTGGTCTATGGCTCCCTTGAGCGGGAATTGGACACCAGCATTAACGGGCATCTCTTATCAGGCTGGCTGGCTGCTTTGTGCCAAAGCCCTGCTATTTTGTGAATTAGCTCGCTTGGTCCTCAGAGCATCCGGGGAGAGAGCTGGTATAAGTTGGTCCATTTCACAAATGTGTCATTTCTGACATGAGTTAGAATAACGAGGTCATGAATCTAGCAACTTGCAGCCCCGAGATTCTTTTTCCTCCTCCCCAAAGCAGCCTGGTCCCCTGAGCTGACCCTACTCTGTACTTCTCTCCCATCCTCCACAGGTATCATCAAGGTCACTGCTGACTCAGCCGTGCTGAGCTTTCTCCTGCGGGACAAGCATGAGAAGGCAGGGAACGGCACCAGCGTGCGCAGCGTGACCTGCGTTCTCACCCAGAACAGCAGCCAAGCCTTGCCGGGGGAGCTCCGACTGAAGGGCCGGCTGCAGACCCAGATGGGGAGCCTCAGGGGCCAGGCCAGCATCTGGGCTGACGCAGCCATCTTGGCTCTGGGTGGGGCCTGCACCTGGGGCCCTGGGCACGGCCAGCTTGCGGGCAGCCTGAGACACAACATTCGCCCATTGAGCGATACAGGTAGGAGTTATGGTACAGGCTGAATGGCTCTTGCCCAGAAGACCCACAGGTCCTGGAGCCAAGAGAGGGGGAAAAAGGAGTTCCTGAGCCCCAAATCCACATTCCAGCTCTATTTCCTTACCCTACTGGCTTCTCCAAGCTCCATCTTCTTCCTTGGGCTGTTATTCGGCCGGAACACATGGATTCAGGACACCAGTTGTTTCAGTCTGACACACTTCTGAACCAGATGGCAAAGAGCCCTGGCTGCCCGTCCCCTCCCCCCGGTCCAGCTTGTCCATGCAGAAGCCTGGCCTAGCCGTGGCCTCCAAGATGCCTTCCAGGAGTGCAGTTATGAAATAGCTGCGACACCCCTTGCTCTGGCTTCTTGGGGATGTCCCCTGGAGGCCTGGAGGAGCCCAAAGGTTCAGTGGGAAGGGGAGGACATGTGATCAGACCACTTTCTCTTTCTGAGATTCAGCCCTGTTCTCAGAGAGCTCAGAACCCAAAGGGGACGGGGCTTACCGTTGGCTATGTGTGGTGATTGTGGTATTAGGCTGCGCCTGATGGAATTTTTGTGAAACGTGGACAGTTTCATAAAGTTCGATCTGGTGTGTTCAGGGGCCATGGGACCTGGGGGCCGGCGTTGGGCTTCAGAGAGCAGGTGGGCTGAGCAGGCTCCCATCTGGCTCTTGCCCCAACGTGATGGGGTGCCCTGGCTGGACATCTCTGTGGTTCCGCCTCTGCTGCCCTGCTGGCCCTCTTGCCCCCAGGACTCCCCTCGAAGGCAGGGATGCTCCTATCCCTGGCCCACGTGGCTTCCAATTGCTCAGCGCACCTGGCGCTGCAGAGCATGGGGGATCAGCTGGACACCGCCCAGGACCTGCAGCGCCCAACCCCTGGCTCCTCCAGCCACCGGCTCCATGCTAGTGTCGGCCACGCTGTGCCTGGCCTCAGGCGCTGGGACCTCCCCTTCTCCACAGATGGCCACAGGCACTTTCAGGTAGGTAAGGAGGGGGGCGGGGCCCTGGCCCCATCCAGGGGGCAGCGGGTCCGAGGGACACCCACAGCTTTGCTTCTGCCAAGAGTGCGGGACACAGTGTGGTGGCAAGTGTGGATGGTGAGCAGCTCCACGTGGCCCTGGATGGCGGGACAGAGAGAAGTCACCAGGGGCTGGCCCCGGGGTTGCTGGGTGCCCGGCCAGAGGTGAATAGTAGGGCCAGGTGCCCCTAGGGGCCAGGCTGTGTCCTCACTGCTAGGGGTCACGACCCAAGTGGGGTCCACCAGAGTCCCCTCCTGCCTTGTTCCTTTTCTAGTCTCCCGAGACCCCTCCTGCACCCTGCCTGTGTCCCCACCTGCGTCTCCCTTCCCCTCCCAACTATCTACCCCCCTCACCTCCCTTCCCCCTCCCATCTGTCTTACCTCCTCCCACTTGCCTCCCCCATCATCTGCTTGTCCCCTCCTGTCCTCCCCTCCCCTGCACCTGCCCTCCTCATCTCTCCCTTCCCTTCTGCCCACTTGTCCTCCTCCTGACCCTCCCTCCTGCATGATTGGCAGTGTCACTGGGGCAGCCACCTAGGCAGGTGCTCCAGCCCTGTCTAGTAAAATGAAAGCTGTTGAGACCCTCACCATCAGCTCCTCTCCTGGTACCTGCCCTGGAGAAGGTGGCACGCGAGACAAGGAAACACATCCTCAACTGTCTTTTTCATCACTCTCAAGAAAGAGAAGTAGGACACCACCTCTGTGCCCATCCCAGGGGTGGCTACACTGTCCCGAGTGTGCACGATGTAGCGGGCGGGTGACCAGGACTCAGGGCCCGAGGCCAGTCTGCTTCATCACCTATGGGGTGTGTGCCTTGGGCAAGTTACTTACTCTTTCCATGCCTCAGTTTTCTCATGAACCAAGGTGGAGCTGTGAACAACCCCTCCTGCCTATGGGTGACTTTGAAGCTCAGGCAAGAGACCACACAGAGCAGTGCACGCTCTGGAGGCTGACATTTTAGGGTGACTCTATGGCCCAGTGCTCAGGTCTCTGTGCAGACCCCTCTTTGGAGGTTGTTTTCCCACGGTGGTATTTTCCCATGGTAGGGTTGAGCCTGATCTAGGTGCTCACAGCAGCCAGCTGGGGCATTGAGAAAGGACATATATCCAGACGGGTGTCCTGAGAGCAGGCGAGGGCCCCGAGACACTCATGGAACAGGAGGAGCCTCAGGGGAATGACCCAGGGACTAGTATGTGTATTACAGGGGCAGGGCTTCGGCTCTCCTGTGACGCTCTGAGCTGCTGAGTGTTGTGACTCCCTGGGAGGCTGGTTTTAGCTCTTTAGAAAGAAGCACTTTCGGGCCAGCCCGGTGGCGCACTGGAGAGTGCGCCGCTTGGGAGGGCGGCCGCGCTCCCGCCGAGGGTTCAGATCCCATGTGGAGACCGGTTCCCGCTCACTGGCTGAGCGAGGTGTGGGTGCAGCACTGAGGGTTGCAATCCCGTTGCTGGTCCTGGTC